AGTACCTAAAGTAGTAGCAAAAGTAAATGAAGATGGTCTGCTTGTTATTTCTTGTTCTTCTGTTATGTCATCCGCAAAAGAAGAAGGAACCAAAGACGACTCATCTATTACTTCTTGTTTTTCTGTTAGACTACCCAAAGTAGTCGTAGAAGTAAATGAAGATGGTCTGCTTGTTATTTCTTGTTCTTCTGTTATGTCATCCGCAAAAGAAGAAGAAGGAATCGAAGACGACTCATGTATTACTTCTTGTTTTTCTGTTAGACTACCCAAATTAGTCGTAGAAGTAAATGAAGATGATCCATCTATTATTTCTTCTCTTTCTGTTATCTCATCCACAATAGAAGTAGAAGGAACCGAAGATGACTCATCTATTACTTCTTGCCTTTCTGTTATCTCATCCACAATAGAAGTAGAAGGAACCGAAGATGACTCATCTATTACTTCTTGCCTTTCTGTTAGAGTACCTAAAGTAGTAGCAGAAGTAAATGAAGATGGTCTGCTTGTTATTTCTTGTTCTTCTGTTATCTCATCCACAATAGAAGTAGAAGGAACCGAAGATGACTCATCTATTACTTCTTGTCTTTCTGTTATCTCATCCACAATAGAAGTAGAAGGAACCGAAGATGACTCATCTATTACTTCTTGTTTTTCTGTTAGACTACCCAAAGTAGTCGTAGAAGTAAATGAAGATGATCTATCTATTATTTCTTCTCTTTCTGTTATCTCATCCACAATAGAAGTAGAAGGAACCGAAGATGACTCATCTATTACTTCTTGTTTTTCTGTTAGACTACCTAAAGTAGTAGCAGAAGTAACTGAAGGTGGTCGGCTTGTTATTTCTTGTTCTTCTGTTAGGTTATCCACAATAGAAGTAAAAGTAATTTCAGGTAATCCGTCTATTATTTCTTGTTCTTTTTTTAGGCTATCCACAGTAGGGGTAGGAGGATATGAGGACGATTCATCTGTTATTTCTTGCATTTCTGTTAGGTTCTCCACAGCAGAAGTCGAAGAAACTGAAGGTGACCCATCCATTGCCTCTTGTTTTTCTGTTAGGTTTTCCAAAGAAGTAGTAGAAGGAAGTGAGAATGATCCATCAATTAATTTTTGAGTTTCTGTTAGGCTATTCACAGTAGAAGTAGAAAGATCTGAGAATGATTTATCTGTTATTTCTTGTATTTCTGTTAGGTTCTCCACATTAGAAATAGCAGAAACTGAAGGTGATCTATCTACTATTTCTTGTTTTTCTGTTAGGCTATCCACAGTAAAAGCAGAAGGATCTGAGGATGATCCATCTGTTATTTCTTGTATTTCTGTTAGGTACTCAACAGTAGAAATGGAAGGAACTGAAAATGACTCATTTATTATATCTGCTTTTTCTATTAAGGCATCTACAGTAAAAGTAGGATGGACAGAAGATGATATATCTCTTACTTCTTGTGTTTCTGTTTGGTTACTCACAGTAGAACTAGAAGAAATTGAAGGCCCATATATTATTTCTTGACTTTCTGTTTGGTTATCCACAGCAAAAGTAGGGGGAACTGAAGATGTTCCATCTGTTACTTCTTGTCTTTCTGTTAGATTAGTCAAAGTAGTCATAGAAGTAAATGAAGATGGTCCATCTATTAGTTCTTGTTCTGTTAGATTGTCCACAATAGAAGTAAAAGTAACTGTAGGTGATCCAGTTATTATTTCTTGACTTTGTGTGAGGCTATCCACAGTAAGAGGATCTGAGGATGATTCATCTGTTATTTCTTTTATTTCTGTTAGTGCACCCAAAGTAGAAGTAGGAAGAACTAAAGATGACCCATTTATTATTTCTTGTATGCCTGTTAAATCATCTGCAGTAGAAGTAGAATGAGTTGAATGCGATGACCCATCGATTACCCCCTGTCTTTCTGCTAGGCCATCCAAAGTAGTCGTATAAGGAAATGAAGATGATCCATCTATTATTTCTTGTTCTTTTGTTAGGCTATCCACAGTAGGGGTAGGAGGATATGAGGACGATTCATCTGTTATTTCTTGTATTTCTGTTAGGTTCTCCACAGTAGAAGTAGAAGAAACTGAAGGTAACTCATCTGTTATATCTTGTATTTCTATCGAAATATCCTCAGTAGAAGAAGGAATAACTGAAGATAATCTGTCTATTGCTTCTTGTGTTTCTGTTAGGTTATCCCCAGTTTGAGGAGTTGAAGATGATCCACCTATTATTTCTTGTCTTTCTGTTATAATATCAGCAGTATTACTAGGAGGAAGTGGAGATGGTCCATCTATTATTTGTTGTGTCTCTGTGTAACTATCCACAGAAGAGAGAGAAGAAGCCATACGTGGTCCATCCGAGGTTTGATTTTGTTCATTAAAATCATCCACAGTAGAGGTAGAAGGGTTTGTAGCTAGTTCAGTTGACGATTGTATGTCTTCCATTTCAAGTTCCACTGGTAAAGGAGAACCTGTTGTTGGTCGTTGCGTTGTAATTATTGCTTCTGCCTGTTCTTCTGTAACAAGAGATGAACGAACTGTAGTTAGTTCTTTGTCCTCTGCTAACTGATTGTCACCAAGTATAGCGAGAGTTGTAGTTATCCGTTCCTTATTTTTTTGTGTTGCATCCTGTTCATAATCTGTGTTAACTGAAGCAATTGTAGTCAATTGTTCTTTTTTCGTTTCTTCTTGAGTAGATGACGGATTGGTTTTTTCAGTTTGGTCAGGTGGGGAAGTTGATCCTATGTATAAATGCATATAAGTTAAAATATAAAAAAATGTCTATTACTTAATCAAAGACCATTTCTTACCGTGATACATAATATTAAATTATGTTATTAACCTTTTGCACTTGTGAATTTACACTAAATATTATCTGTGTTATGATTGAACAAGAAATATTTTATGCTTTTCATTTGAGAAGAAAATTTGTCTTAATAAAAAAAAAAGAAATCGATAATACTTAATTTTCTTTGATGAAACACACTACATGTAACCTTTTGCACTGAATCTTGATACTTTTATTGAAAGTGTTACTTCTTTGAATACGAAATTGAATCCGAAAGCCAGGGTTGAATGTAACCTTACTTAGTTAAGCTAACTAAATATCACACTTTATACATTCTGTTTCTGATTAATTAATCCTTAAGAAATAAGCAAGACCTATCTTCTGAAAGCACTCGAGCTGTAGAGTTTCTTGTTTTGTGTTACTGATATTGTTTTTTCATATAAATAGATTAGATCCTGGCAGAGGTGTTAATTGTTTTAATACATAATGCTGACATTTTCATATATTATGTTAATTATATATACTTACGAAGTGGGGGACAGTGATCGTACTGGGGACAACATTCTCCAGGGACATAGACTGGTTCACAATCAGAACGGTAGTAGCAGTCTGCTAGGGAACAAACGACAGAATTGCCACGGCAATAACAGCGGTAGCATGGACTTTCCTCATAAGGCACTAGCTCTCCATTGTCATAAAAAATATTTTTATATTCACACCCTACAGGGATAAAAATTGATTGAAAAGCTATAGGTATGTAGACAAAATGTATCCTCAAAGTATTTAAAGTACTCATAACAAAACTTTTAAATACGAAAAACACTTCAAAATTACCACAGTTTTAAAATATATAGAAAACTTCCATCATTGTGATATATTTTGTTAAAGATGGTAACCTATGGCACATCCTTTTCAAAAACGGAAAGTTTCATATTTTAATACGTTATATCTAACTTATAATGACTTGTATTATAATGAACATTGTTTATGACACATTAAAAGGAATAGTAAAGGTTGAGTACGTTATATTAAAACGCTTCTGGATATGCAAATCAGAAAATCGTGTGCCAACTACAACTAATATAAAGTTGTATCAAAACTACATTTTAACATTGTTTGCCATTTCTTAGGTAGTGATGCCATCGACAATGGATCGCTTTTGGGAAGGGTATGTAACATCCATTTCCAGCTCAAAATAGTCATACTTTCAGGTCATAACGATGTGCTCAGATCGGGGATTTGGAATTTTCAAGACGGTAAAACAAAGGAATATGGATCAACTTGGGACACCAGGACCACCCAGAAACAGATCTGCAATAAGTCATACCCTAACTGTGGTAAGCAAAGTGTGATGTCTTGTAACGGGGGAGAATAGTGACAATAGCCGTTCACCTATCTCAGACAACAGTATGCAATATAACAAAGAAGGATCTACGTTTGGCAACAAGCAAATCAGATATATGGATTCACCAAGATAAGGCTTCTAGTCATACCTCTCTTCGGCTGTCGTACACCTCAAGCATGAAACATTAAATGGATATTGGTGTTATTCCACATGAATATATATGGTAAAATTATTGTGCATAGTACCTATGGAGTTATGTACGATTTGACTGTTGAAATGGGCACTGGGAAATCGCTATACACTAGATAAATTATGAAAAGTGGCACAGATGAATGGAGTGCTTTGGGCATGACAGCCTTACGACGGAGCTTTTTGTCACGATGCACGGTTGACAGGTAGGTCATGAACGGCCGAGGCGACATGGACTGTAACAAAAGTCCAGAATTTATGAATTGTTTGTTTTCTGTTTTTCTTTTAAAGTTTTCCCCGACAATGGCATAGCATCTTTTAATTTTGAACTGATTTACTAGAAGGAAGGCAGGTAGCCACGTACACTCATCGCAAAGTGTTGAGTTACTCTTGTCTGACTGAATAGTGAGGCTTAAGCACCACTCTTTTAGCCCACACATATCTCAAAATGTACGGACCACGTTCTTGCATCAACTGGTCGCGATTCACTAATTTTTGGATTCACAGTGCAAGTTATAACACTTGTGTTCGGGGCTCGATACCTGCAATTGGCATAGCGCAGGTTGCCCATTGTGCAGCTTTGCACTTAAACATAACAAACGATTTTACTCAATTCAGTAAAAAAGTTGCATTTCATTCTTTAATTACTTAAGTAAATATTGAAGGGGCACAGTGTTAACACCGTTTAAATTAGTACTTGTTTATCAAAATATAATTCTCGTTTTATGGAATTCTCATATGAAATAATCAAACATAATAATGTGAAAGCACATTATCAGCTAAGTTACCAAAACAAACCGTTGGAATAAAAAGTTATCATATTTTTCATTAAATTCCTAAAATCGCTTAAATTAGTTATGTTAAAATCGAAATAAATAAAAGCAGTCGAAGTAATTTTAGCATTTACATGGAAACCACAAAAGATTGCTTGTTTGTTGTATTATTTCTTGTTAAGAACAAAACTACACAAAGTACTCTGTCCACCACGAGTATGGAAACCCAGTTTTTAGCATTATAAACCTTCAGACTTACTGCTGAGCCACCAGGGACCAACCACAAATGACAAATTGACTCTGTGCTATCCAATATAGCCTCCCAGTGACTCAGCTATAAGTCTGAAGTCTTATAACGTTAAAAAACAGGTTTCGATGCCCGTGGTTGGCACAGCACAGATGGACTATTATGTAGCTTGTGCTTAACAACAAACAAATAAAGCAATCCAATATTAGTATCATAGTTCGAGTTATTAAAAAATGCCTCACTAACAAATGCTAGCCATTTAGTGTTATTTATAGAACATTCGCTGTTTATATAGCAGGCGAAGCGAGATCCAGCATTACGCTCGACTCGTAATCTGAGGGTCGCGGGTTCAAATCCCCGTCCCACAAACATGCTCGCCCTTTTAGCCGTGGAGACCTAATAATGTGACGGTCAATCCAACGTCGTTGGTAAAAGAGTAGCCCAAGAGTTGGCGGTGGGTGGTGATGACTAACTGCCTTCCCTCTAGTCTTACACTGCTAAATTAGGGACGGCTAGCGCAGACAGCCATCGTGTAGCTTTGCGCGAAATTCTTAACAAACAAACTTGTTGGATTTTAGCGTTCTAACTCTGTAGACTTACTGGAGGAAATACATCAAGAAAAAAAAATTAAATTAGTAGATGAAAGTAAAACAGTATATGTATCTGTGTGAAAAACAAACTGTATTTTCAACATATAATTTTTGATATATAAGGTAATCTTTGAAAGTATATTTCTTGTTTTTTTCTCAATACTTCAGTCTAACTCTTACTAAATGTTCTTTCTTCCCAGTTTACATCTATAGGTTAAATTAAAATATTAATTAACATGTAAATAAATAAACTTAATTTGTATGTCACTATACCACATTTCAATTTTCTTAAATAAAATAATTTCACAAGATGTCAGTAGTATAAAGCATGGGAATACACACACACACACACACACATATATATATATAGAGAGAGAGAGATTATCATGATATGTCAATGTGTGTGCTTTTGCTGCATATTTCGTTAAGTTTCTCATTTCTTATCGTTTGTATTTAACCGTGCAGTTTTTTCTATACATGAGGGTTTGTCACAAATCATAGAAACTTTTCCTTTATTTATTAACTTATTAATTCCTTTATTTTAAATTTTAAATTTTGCTTATTAAGACAGCTCGTTGATGAAATTAGATAACATTTATTTTTTAACACTCCCGTTTTTTTGTTGTTGATCTTTTACTGAGCTTTGCATGAATATGTATTCAATTTTTAAACTGCTTATCATTTAAACGTTCCTGAAGAGAAAGAAAAATAATTTATATTATATTTCCTGGGTCGCTTGAGCAGGATCATCAGACCAAATGATAAGCTTTATTCTAGAAATTATTCGCTTAGATAATTTCATCTCATTTTCACAGAAGTAGCGTTTTCTTTGAAATAACTGAAAGGCTTAATTTTAAAGTCCCCTTTCTCTTCATGAAAGGAGTAAAGTAAGCGAGAAGTTGGTTAATAACTAATTGTTTGACTGATGAGATCAAAATACATTAAATACCATGACAGTTAATCTTGCACTTCCTGAGCTAATTTCTCAGTCTACGAAACATACACGTTTTTGTTTTTTTAATTCGTTGTACACGAACTAGTCACGCCAGACCGCACATCATACGAAAATAAATTAACTTCGTGCAGCCTTGTTAAGACTTTAACTTTAATAGCCTTTACTTGCAAATCGTCATTTAGATTTCCTTGCCAAGAAGAACGCTCATTAGAACAAAGGGTAAACTACCCCTTTAACTATCATAGGGGACTTTAGAAGATTTTAATTACAAATGATTTGATGGTTATTTTTTCGCCAAATTTGATATATTTAGAAAATAAAGGATTACAGGAAAAAAACAGAAACTCTGGATTAAAGATAAAAAACGTAATAAAAACAAATAAACCGTTTCTACTTTAACTTTCACTTACCACAGTGGTATCTAGGACAACAGTCATCCTCCGAACGAACAGCTCTACACCCGGGCTTGTGGTCACATTTTCTCCACGTGCATGAAAATCCAGGAGGGCGACAGATACATGTCTCACACGCTCTGTCAGTTGGAACTGAATCTCCAGCGTTGTAGTAATTGCCGTCAACTACACACGCTGGGTTGATATAAAACAGTGTTAAAATCTTTAATTAAAGTAAACAGAAAACACAAATCACAGAAAGGCTTATTCAAAACAAGTCCTGCATTTCAGAGGGTTGGGGATTGCGCAAAATGAGTATCTTACAAAACAAAGTCCTTGAACTTGTCAAGACATTAGACTTTAATATTATTCTGTGTCATAAGTAATTTTTAAACAACGGCAACAGATGGATGAGATATTTTTGTGTCTGCCCACAGAAAGCAGACATCAGTTTGTCAGAATAGACTCATAATGCCCT